TTTTTTACTGTGTATGTTAAATTTGTATTTTTCTTCCAATTTGGAGGCGGATATAAACTTTATTATAATGTATACAATTATTTAATGGGTATAATTATACCTTGTTATGTCTTTTCTATGTAACAACCATCTGATATTCTGATATTTATTTATTGAATGAATAAATAACAATTATGCTGACAAGTATGATGTTTATGCTTATTAGTGCAGCTGATTGACTGAATCGTTGGAAACAAACTAGCGAAGAATAAGAAATCAGTAATTTGTTTCTCAGTTTTAATTGACCGCAGTCGAATCCAAAAGCGAACTGGTCGCATGTAAAGGCTACCGTATCTCGATATTTACATTCCAAACAACATCGACTTTGTTATACCAAATTTAATTATACGAAATTTTGAATTCGGTTTTCTTTTTATCTGCACGCCTCCCATTCATAAATAAACCTTTATTGACCAATTTAGTTTCCACAAAAACAAAAAGGATGTATCACCGAATTACAAATTCCAACTCTTCAAAGGTAATCAGCATTATTTTTAGTTGGATGGCATTTGGGACCGTCTGTTTTCAATTAACAGTCCCATGATTGTTATCTTTATTATTATAAATTATATATTACTTTGATTTCATTTTAAAGCACAAATTAAAACCAAAATTATAGAAGAAAATAAAGATACCTACAATCTTAAGTTTATCCATTTCAAGTTGTTAACAAAAGTTCACGCTGAGCTATTGAGAATAGTCAATACTATTGACTTGTATCAATGAAGCTGTAATAATTTTAACTTAGAGAAACTAAGATGTTTCTTGACCATTGTTATGGCCATTTGAGGTGATATAAATTGCATTTTGTAAAGAACGTAAATGTTTCACCTACAAACATAATGAGTATTGTGCACTGAAGTAAAGAATTTTGGCCACACATTGTCAAAACGTTGCAAAAGGTGCATCATGAGAAAAACCTGTGACTAGAATATCTACACCAATCGAGTTTTCATTCTAATTTTTATACAACAATTTGTTTAATCCTTCTACTGTAAAACACCTAAGTAGTGAATTTGTGGATTTATAAATCTAGAACACGTTTATTTAATCACTTATTGTTAAAAAGGTGGGAACTTATAATTTACAGACGTCTTGACAAATTTAAATCCCGTCTGATTAAAACCCATTCAAGACTCGAGACATCCGAACCTATAAATAATTTCATAACATCATTAATTAAATCTTTGTCGACTGCTTTTGTAGTTGCTGAATATTCTACTAATTCGAAGAAATATTTTAGGCCCTAAAATCACGCTGTGCCTTTGAAAACATATTTCACCATTGTTAAAAGGCAAAATGAATGAAAAAATAATAATTTTAGTTTATGATATGCTGCGGTCTTTTGTCATCGTTTTTGAGATGACATAATTTATGAACTACTGAGAATAATGGAAAGGAGTGCGATGCATAGGTATTCGGTATTAGTTACCTGTTCCAGACCCAAGTGTGTTTCTGTAAATTCTTTGTTCATGTTATATCATCAAAAAAGTCCCTGTGTATTATAAGCTAAAGAAGCATCGGGTTTTCTCAACGCGCCCGCCATCTGGTGGCGTTCGATAGCATTATTGAACTACAAGGTTTGTCAACAATACATTTAAAGCATACGAACTGTCCATCATTTAAAATAAATAATTAAGTACTTAGTTTTTTCACAAAAAGACAAAGGCAAATTTGGTTCGCAAAGTTTCAATTGTGCACGTTATTTGGGTTTCGCGTTGCAAGTAAAAACTAAAAAACTTTGGTTTAGTACTCGATTTCGATTTATTATTTCTTATATTGTTAATTAAGAAACGCAACGCTTATATGCTTACATAGTATACCGGGTGTATCTGAGAATAGGCGCACTCCTGTAACTTTTTTATTTATAAAGATAGACACATGAAATTTTGCATGGTTAATTAGGATATAAAATGCCACTTATAAGAGTACAAAATGAATTTTTTGAACTTCCGGTTTCGCCGATTTTTAAATGGAATGCCATATACATTTTTACATATTTGGAATCCTGAGGAAATTCTGAGTCAGACAGCATTCTTAAACGATGACGTTTCGTCATCAGAAAATGTATCATTATAAAGATCAATCTAGAGTGCTTTGAACTATCTTATTTTCTTTTAATGGATTCACACAATGCCTGAAAAATGGAACTTGCCTTAGAAAGTTGTTATTTAGCTATTCCCAGCAGTCTAAACTTGTCAAAATTCGTTTTTCTCAAATAGTTCAAAACACTCTAGATTGATATTTATGATGATGCATTTTCTGATGACGAAACGTCGAAAGGTCAATTTGAGGATGCTGTCCGATTCAGAATTTTCTCAGGATTCTAAATATGTAAAAATATATATAAATGTCTCCTTCGTCACATATCTCTTTTATCATACTGCACAATGGATATGAAAATGTGAACTATTTATTTTTTATAGGTAGATGGAGCTAAAAAGTATAATGACTCAGGAACATAACCTTAAAACCATTTTTATATTTGAGTCCTCTAAAGAACGCCGACAACTGCATTTTAAAATGCATGCTAAACGACAAAATATATATATATATATATATATATATATATATTTATATATAGATATATCTACGAATTAATGGCAACATAATATAATACATAATACCCGTTTTTGTGTTTTTTCTCAATCAACGCTTTTAATAATGGGTGACGTTCATAATATCGAAATTCACTTTATCGAATTCAAAATATCGAACACTTTTTATCGAAAATTAAAATATCGAAAATACAAAATGTCGAAAATCAAAATATCGAAAATTAAAATGTCGAAAATGATAATATCGAAATTTTATTTAATCGAATTTTCAATTTATCGAAAATAAAATATCGACGTTCATAATATCGAAATTCACTTTATCGAATTCAAAATATCGAACACTTTTTATCGAAAATCAAAATATCGAAAATACAAAATGTCGAAAATTAAAATGTCGAAAATGATAATATCGAAATTTTATTTAATCGAATTTTAATGTGAAACTAAACCATATTTTCTTATTTTGAATTTGATATTTTGTTTAAATATTTCAATTAATCGACATATTATTTTAATCCGAAGTGTATATGTATAGAGGCGCCTGATATAGAAATGTACTCAAACTCAACAACACAACCCAACCGACCCCGCCCCATTGGCCCCCCCCCGCCCCATTGAGCAAAAAACCCAAATAAAATGGGCTAATTTATGTAATTAAAAAGTGTTTTATTTTTATCGTAACATGAATTTGCCCATTTTAGTTGGGTTTTTTGCTCAATGGGGCGGGGGGGGGGCCAATGGGGCGGGGTCGGTTGGGTTGTGTTGTTGAGTTTGAGTACATTTCTATAAAACGCGCATCTCTAGGAGCCAGGGAGCCAAGATAATTCGGTGCATAACCGTAACTTTATCTACAGAGGCGCCTCTGTACATATACACTTCGATTTTAATCATACATTTTAATTTTCGATATTTTTAAATCGATATTTTAATTTTCTAAATTTTAATTATTCGACATTTTCAAATCGACATTTTAATTTTCGATATTATCATTTTCGACATTTTCAAATCGACATTTTAATTTTCGATATTATCATTTTCGACATTTTAATTTTCGAAATTTTAATTATTCGACATTTTCAAATCGACATTTTAATTTTCGATATTATCATTTTCGACATTTTAATTTTCGATATTTTGATTTTCGACATTTTGTATTTTCGATATTTTGATTTTCGATAAAAAGTGTTCGATATTTTGAATTCGATATAATGAATTTCGATATTGTGAACGTCACCCTTTAATAATGCATAACGCTGTTTGAATTTAGACGATCTATTTGTTTTATGATTTTTACTAAATTGAAATGTTTACAATTTTCACCTAAATCATTACTAAATTGTGTATTTATTGTATCTATAGATACACAGAAAAAATCTAACATAGTACCAAGAACAGCGCTGTCATTGAATGCATTAAAATTGGAGCAATCTAAATTGTTATTTGCTCAATTAATTACTATTAAACCAAAATAGGGAAATATTTTGCCTAAATGTCGAAGAATTTATTGCGTTAAATGTATACATAGTATACATACGATAGTAATACTATTAGTAACGTTATTAAATAAATCAAATTAGTATTTAATGCAATAACATTCTACCATTCTAACAAATAAATATCAATATGAATATCAATAGATTTAGAAGCGATAACTTTTGTTGTTAATTTAAAAACAGTAAACGATTATAAACCAAGTGCTATTGCTATTGGTATTATAGAAACTGTTATTCAGGAATATGAATTACAAGATCCCATTGGTTTAATAGCTCACCCATTCATGCTATGCTAGCGTTTTTTCTGTGTATAATAGGTACAATTTATATTTACTGGGACGCGTTTAACAGCTGATTTTTAAAGTTGTAGTTTGGTTACGATGATAAGGGCCACGTTGTGGTGCTACAAGCGATGCTTATTTAGCGTATATGAGGCAAAATTGAAAAAATAATCAAAAATACTATTTTTTCGCTTATTTCATCAGATTTTTGATAAAGAATGTATTGCAATCTTTAAAACGTTTCAAAACTGCTTCTTTGCTATTTAAAATCTGTTAAAGAGTTATCGTTTATTTTCAAAACTCATTATTGGTTAAACATAATGACAAAGATTGGACAAAACTACCAGAATAAACTTCCTATAAAATTATTCAAGATCAAGCTGCTCAAAGTTTAAAAAAAATAAAGATGATCAAGACGTGTGTCAAAACGTAAACAACACTGAAATTATTTAATTTTTTTTCTTTTGCAAACTAATTTTTGTTTGCGTTCCAAAAATCTTTTTAATGTTATAGGTTGGTTAATAAGTTAACGTTTAATTTCGCTGTGTTAACGATTATCATATTTATTAGTCTTGCCTATTAATGTATTGAAAAAAAACTAAACCGAAAAGATAATTTACGTTCAAGCTAAGTTTTTTGTTGCTCCTGAAAAGTAAACCAAATAGTAAAGAGAGTTTTGCAAATAATATACTAACATTGATTTAAGTCAAAAAGTAATGACAAGTGTCAAAAGTTTTTCTTACATTTTGGTTATAATTATGTATTGTCAAAATCTCCAACTTTGGCGATCCAGTAAGAATCTCAAACCGTTGTTGCGGATAAACCTTCGTAGTTTTTCCAACGACAAGGATAATCCAGATGATGGGGAAGAAGGGAAGAGAGCAGGCAAAAAATTAAATCCTGGTCAATATGGACCCATAAAATCCGATAACGCTTTAAATGAAAAAGATAGAGCACACGAAGGAAACTATTTCTACAAAGATGATTTGGAGAAACTCAGGAAATTAAAGAAAGGGATTGATAAAGTAGAGAAAGTAACAGAAAAAATATTTAATGATGAAAATAATAAAAAGTAATGAGTTGTGTTTTAAATTTTGTTAATACAAATACATAATAGAAACAACTGACCAATGACTGACTAATTTTAGTATTCCAAGTATTACAATAAAAGGAAAAAATAAATTTCCAATAAGTAGTAAACAATAATAAGCCGATTTGATGCTTAGTTCCGGCAGTTGGTGTTTCGCATTTCGAATGATTGCTTTTGTATTAATTAAATGCAATAAACATGGCAGAAAAGCATTTCAGTAATTGCGAACAGATTGAATATCTCGCTCTGCGTTTTACATACCGTGCTCGGTGACAGTTTATTGCACGTTTTAGTCTTTAAAGTGCTCTAAATAATTTCAGGGCGCGATAAAAGCAATTAATTAAATTCTGAGAAACGTTTCGTTTATTTTTATTGGACCGCACTCGATCGGAACAATGGCTACCAGTATTGTAAGGCTTGCCTTCTTCACTGCTCGCTTGCTTTTAATTTGCACCGTTTTTCAGTGGCGTCCTCTCAACATTTTGTCATTTTAAATGAAAAAGAAATTAACATCGTTAATTGTTTTTTTAACATTCCTAAGTGTGTGTCTTATCATTCTAAAGTTTAACATACTTAACAAGTGCCTTATAAGTCCAACGCTAGTTTGTCAAGTAGGCCACGTGAGACCAATGTGGACTTGTTCAATAAGATTCAATTTGCCAAAAAAAGTGAATTTAGTATATATGGCCATATATTGCCACTTAAGAATAAAAAGTTAGGTGGCCATTAAATATTATTTTTATTATCTAAAATTTCTGTTTGTTGTTTAGTATATTACTATAGTATATTATGTATCAAGTTTGATAAACGCCACTTTATACAAGAATTTAATTTAGGCACGAGCGAGCTTGTGAACGAGTGCTTAAATTGATGAGTGTATAGAAAAGTTTATAAACGAGGTGCATACTATACTTATTCTACGACAAATACTTATTATTATCTTAAAATGATTTAAATCAAAAATTTGTATAGAGCGCCATCTATGAAACAATAGGGGAATATGTGTGCCACCGTCAAATGTCACATTTTTAAATTTTATAAAAACAGATTATAAAGGTCATAAATCGAAATGTATTTCTTGAAAATTGACAGTTTTTCACAGTGAAAGTAAAGAAAATGTTTTATGAGGACTTTACAGTGGAGTCCGTACCCGAATTTAAGTTATAGTTTACTGCCGGCGAAATTAAAAGGTCAGTACAATGTGCATATAAACTTTTCAAATATTGGCGTTGAGAAACTATTTAATACTTTTGTATTTTTGTATTGAGATAATAAAATAATTTTCACATTTAGTATTATTTTACAAGAAAGGCACTTTATTTTAACGATTGTATGACATTTGACAACTGTCAACTCACTTAAAACTAACTTCAGCCCGTGACTAAAAACCTGTTGCTTACTTCAGCCCGTGACTAAAGCGCCGTTAAGCCACAACTTGTCAATTTGTATTTAAAATGTCACTTAGTGTCATGGAAACATGTACAATAAAGGGCGTTTTAAAGGTGGGAGTAGAAAAACCTTTTTAAGTAGGTTTGACAATCTAAAATTTGATGTGGAATGAGAAAATCTTCGACCAAAATAGTATATTAAAGAACTAATGTCATAAGACGTTATTTTGTCGCACGCGGACAATTTATAAAACGAGCGACGAAGGATTTTGCAAAAATTCTATATAAAAATAATTTTATACCTTAAATTTAATTTGATCAAATTTTACTTTAGATAGTTGGTATCACAGTCATTGGTTTGACAGTTAATGTCAAAATCGATTGGCCATGCCGTTCTTAATTTACTTATTTACAATAAGCGGCTGTTAATGTTAAAGAAGAAAAAAAGGTTTTCTTTGGTGTTAAACAAAATTTATTGCCAGAAAAGTCTCGTAAGTACTAGAAAAATCATAAAAATATTATAACCAATATGCAAAATATTATGCTGTTTAAAGTATAGCCAACCTATAAAATCAAAATTTTGGGTGGGATAAAGTATCTTATCACAGCACCGAAAGCGGTGTTATAATGAAGTCATTATGAACGCAAAATAGATAAAATAAAATATGCCCGATTGATTGAAGATATGTATCCTAAAAAAATATGCTAAACAATATATATATTTTCTAAAACAATAATAATATATTTCCGCCTCTACGACACTGCTTTAACACTTTGGCTGGACGATTTAGATAAAGATAGACTTTCAGACGCGAATTGATAAAGGATGCACTTTTTTGCAGTGTCGGCGAACGAATTATTTAATTGATTTTATTAAAAAGCCCAACATCACAGACAGATTTTTTTCACACCGCCCAGAAAACAGGACCGTAGTTTTGGTATTAAACATTTTTAAGGGCAAGATTAATTAATGTTGCTATATTTTAAGTAATTATGTCTGAAGTTAGCTTTAAGTTAATTCACTGTTCAAATGTCAAACAATCGTCAAAATAGGGTAAAATAATAGTAAATGTAAAAATTATCTCAATACAAAAATACAAAATTATTAAACAGTTTCTTCATTTCGGGTAGAGTACCCATAACACAATCTCTTCACTTTTACTGTAAAAAACTTTTTCTATATAGGATTTTAACTTTTGATAGTCCATTTCAAGAGATAAATTTCGATCTTTACAGAAAAATTACTTGCCATTTTGAAAGCTGCGAGCTAGTTTTTAAATAAATGCGTTTCTAGAAAAGTTTATAAGCGAATTACATACTATACTTTTTTTACGACAAATAGTTATTATTATCTAAAAATTTTAAGGGGTTGGGTTGCAAAAGGGTACAAGTGCAAAAAGAACTTTTAAAGTTTTTGCTATACAAAAATTTGGCTACTTGTTTTAATATTGTTTTTTGCAATAATCAACATGCAGAACTCAGACAATTTTCCCGTTATGATAAAAATTTAAAAAAAAATTGGACTCCAAACTACCCAATTCTGCAATGAACTTATTTGCATGCTAAAATGTACTTGTACAATTTTGCTTCTTACCCCTTCATTTGTATTCTTACTGTATACGTAAGTAATACTTAAGAATAACTATGTGTATTTAATAATAAATTATTAGACTTGTATTGTATTAAATTAACTATTAATTAATTGTTTGCAGGGACATTTTTTTTTACCGTAAATGTTAAAAACAGCAGCCCAAAGAATGAAACATTTTTTCTTCAACTACCGCAAGAAATGTAAGGCAAATTTTATTTGATGTTTTATCTTACAAGCATTTTTAACCTCATTTTTTTCCAATTTTAACTTAAAGCCTCGGTTAAAGCCAGTGGGCAAAATGCTATTTCGCCCATCAATGGGCGAAGTAAAATTTTGTATAAAATAAATTTATTGTTGTTTTTCATAGTTATTCAAGGGATCATTTAAGACACCATTAGGACACCTGTACCTACTTTAAACATTATTAATCTATTTAGATTGAATTAGATATCCATTTTAAGAAGTCTTGAATGAAGGAACATTGTCAGTCCCTTTTTCCAACATACTTTCTAATAGCTGCCTTGTCCGACTAGTATATTTACAATTTAATCCATATATCATGAGCGGCCCACAAAGGATAATTTTTATACGACCTCAAACGGTCCCAAGCAGAAAAGAATATTAAATCTGGAAAAAATAAAGACATCGCATACTTGAAATATCATTATAGTTTCATTCAAAGACGGCCCCATTCATTCAAAATCCTATGAATAGAACAGCCAGAATGCGAAAAAAATGTCAAAAATCGGATTAATGGTGTTTCGACATATTAAGCGCGGGCGGCTAGGCCGGTCATAGCCATCCATGACCCATGGGAATGTGCGCTACCATTAATCTTCATTTGTTACCAACCACTTCAAGTGTTTACCTCATTGTTAGACTATTAAGATGTGTTTCCATTAAACGGCTGATACGGTTTTATGGCTGTGATTTTTTTCCTCTCGCTTTGCTTCACTTTTCCAAGCATTCTTTAATAAGCAGCAAATTTAACGGCCTGTTATGATTTCATTAAGTCTCAAAAGCGTTTAATACATTTCTCACGGTTTGCAAGGAACTGGATTATTTCTGAATCGCAGAATGTCAGGTAGCACCTACGCACCTTTATTAAATCAAAATAATTAGGTTTATTTTTTAAACCTAATATTTGATTATAAAATTTTGATAATATGTTAGTTTGTGGTAAATGGTTTTTTTCCGCTGGTTTTGGCAATCCAATAATAGTGTAATATGTTTCTAAACGAGTTTCAAACTATACTTTTTCTACGCTTATAAAATATACCATAATGAAATAATTTAATTGTGGAAAAGTAAGGTCAGAGCTGTCGAAACTGTCTAATAGATGTCATATTTTATGATGATTTTTAAATAAGCTACCCGGTTGGTCAAAATAGAGATGTCGCCACCATTATTCCATCATTAAAATCTGTCAAACGGTTTTAACCTCACTTGTTCCTCATGTAATGCTTTAGTGCATTAAGTAACTTATGATTATTAGTAGATTTTAGTCACGGGCTGAAGTTAGTTTTCATTTAGTTGAAAGTTATCAAATGTCATACAATAAAGTGCCCTTCTTCTCTTCCAAGAATACAAAAGTATTTAATAGTTTATCAACGCCCATATTTTAAAAGTTTATATGAACATTGTACTGGCCTTTTAATTTCGCCGGCAGTAAACAAGATTTAACTTAATTTCTGGTGAATACTCCACCGTGAAGTGCCCATAAATTAGTTTTTTTAAATTTCACTGTGGAAAACTGTTGTTAGTCCATTGTCGATTTACAAATAAAAATTTGACATTTTCACCGGTAATACAGATTTCCAAGTTGGTTACTCTATTGTTTTATAGATCCCGCTCTATACAAATATTTACTTTAAATTATTTTTATATAATAATAAGTATTTGTCGTAGAAGCTCGCTCGTACCCAATTTAAATTCGTGGCTTTAATCAAACTTGATACTGTATAATATACAGTGTATATATCAATGAGACATAATATACTATTATCGCAAATTTATGTTTTAACTTTAAATGTTTCCATAAAATTATTGTATGTGTTATTGTAATATTTATTTAATGATGTTAAAAGAATTTTTCCAATATATTCTAGTAAAAATTATTGATAAATTTTAAGTAATTAAGTAGGTATTTAATGATGTTAAAGGAATTTTTCCAATAT